TAGGAAAAATTGAAGTTACATTTCCGAGCATTTTTAGGACTGATAACCCAATGATGATGATACCAATAATAATATTTTAACTTCGTTTGTATCTGACGCCTATTATTCTTCAGGTGCGTGTCCAACTAGTCTTAGAACAATGAAGTGTAAAAGTAACCGAACATAATAAAACAATAGCTTTTTAAAAAAAAATCACAATTACATCAGTTACTTATATAAAATACCACAAATGGCGCGGTAAACGCCATCTGTAGTACGATGCTACATTTTAGGATTACGTATGCTCCAACAAGGTCCATTTAAATACATGGATATCTACTTGCTGAAACGAATCCGGGCGTAGCTAACCTCAACGTGATAGGCACAAGTGGTCTGTATTCGTACCACAGATGGCGTTTACCGCGCCATTTGTGGTATTTTCTAAAACGCGCTCTTAAGATAGCAGGTAAAAGTTGGTCTGTGTTCTATCGGAGCTGTCTGCGACGCGCTGATGAGATCAAAACGATCGAAATCGCGATCCGCGTCTGGCAGTTTCGACAGAATACAGACCACTTCGAATTATTTTATTACATCAGTTATAAAAAAAATTCATCTCGTGTACTCTAATAATATTAGAAACCGTAGACCTTGTAAAATGAAGCCAAAACATAAGAGGTAAAGTAAACGGGTGTTTGGTAAATAGGTATGGCGGATCAGCGGCGGGGTTGAGAAGACCAAAGGGCAGTTGTATAGTTGAAATTATGGTGTTTACCTTTGGGATCAGAAGGAATCGAGGCGGCTGTTCCCGACTGATGCCAGATAGTAGCTTCTTTATGAGATGGCTTAAACTTTGTCCGCCGTAACCGAGAACGTACACAACGCTATCTGGGGATGTCGATGGAAATTGCTTCTTACTGTCTCCCGTGGTCGTTTCGTATGGCCGAAGATTCTCAAATAAAGGCGTTACACCTTGACAGACCGGACATTATTTAACGAACAAATCGACTTCACATCCTCTTTTAGACTTTGAGACACTTATTGGTACAAAGAGAAATAATAAAGTACTAGCAAAATTACACAGATAGATGTCGTTGTATTTATGATATGAAAATGGTTTTAATTGTTACAACTAATTAAAATATTAAAACGGGTACCATCGAATTTTCTATATTTACTTAAGTATCAAATACTTTTTAAGAAAATCTTGCAGGCATTTGCTCATTTTTGAAATATTGCAAACTAATAGTGGTGTTCGCACTATATCACCAGCTGCGAAGATTAAGATGATTGTAATGATTCATATTTTTCTGTTTGAAGTGATTGAGATATAGTTTTTCTACCTTTATGTTATAGTTTCCTCGTTTCAGCAACAAATAATTATCTATGTGCTTCCTTATTGCCTTTGTTACCGTTTTAATTGGAAAAAAGACACTGATGCTAAAATAGTTTGCTTAGCGTGAAAGATCAGAACCAAAATAGGGTTGCAAATAATTTTATTCATGTAAGGCCATGATCAATCATTTTATATCAAAATATTTACAACCCCATTTTGTTTCTGATCTTTTGCTCTTTGTGATAAGAGAAAGAAAAGGAATTCATAGTTTCTTTAGCTTTGGCTTCATCTAATACTAGTGAAGTTTTTCGAATTGTTTTCTAAGAATTTTGGATTAAATGCATTTATTGGCGTACCACAATATATCTTGTAATTTTCAGTTTTATACAGCTGGCGTATATCAATTCGATATTGATTTGCGGGCTATTTTATCGTAATTCATAAAATTTCGTAGTTCCTTGCTAAAGGTACAATAAGTGGCGATTTGACCGGTGCTGATATCAATTTGGAACTTAAAAATTCCATGGACCATGACATTGAACCTGGAAAACAATATCGATCCAATATTTTAGATTATCCATTTCCAAGGAGTTTAGAAATTTTTGAGCTCTCTTTAATTAAAGAATTAGAAGGCATTCATGGAATGTCTCTTTACCCCCTTTTGCAGCTTCTAATACCTTCAATAGCTAATGTGAACAACATTCATTCATTGAATGTTTGATTGGTGATACAAGTAAAATATACGTTTGGAAAAGTATTTTAAATAACATAGAAAATGCCTTTCTCAAAAAAGTATTTAAATGCAAGACAAAAATAGGTATTTTGTGTTTTGTATTTGCATTTTAAATGCAAGTATTTCAAATAGATTAATAAATACCAAGCAGTAGGAAGTAGTCACGTCTGAATTATAGTGTATATCTACTAAATCTTTTCTAGATAAATTGCTTGTTGTACTGACCTTGTAATTTTTCCGCATTGCTTGGATTATAAAATTTTGAAGGTGCCTGATAACTCTAATTTTTTAGTTCTTGCCTTTAGGCCTTTCAGTGGTGACGTTGACTTTAAACGCTCTGGAATTGTGTTCTACGTTTCGTTTCAAACTGTTTGTCCTACATACATGGCGGTCATCAAGCTTTTGTTTCGGAAGCTTCTGGTGATGCAGAATTCGGAGCGTAATAAATTATTAAGCACGGACTAAATAAGTCGTTTTGATTAAGTAGGCTTAGCGAGGCGAACGTTATAAGTGAAAGGACGTATTCCGCGCGCCTTTCACATAAATCGCCTCGAAAATCCACGTTTAAGGATTAAAAGAGAAAGAGACAGAGAACGGGCGGTATACACTGTCGCATGTCCCCCGAAATATTTTTGTTTTTCCCAGTGCAATGAGCGTCATAATCACTCGCGCATAGTGCCCATGAATATTATACCTCCACACAAAGCCCCGCGTCCAGTTTCGGCAGCGAACACAATAGCCCCGGGGTTTTCTTAGTTTGAATTACAGCCAGCAATAATGGCGGCAACTCGCTTTCTACTAACCAATACTGGGATTACAGTTGTATTTTCTGCTAAATTTAAGCCCTTTTCCTCGTAAACGTTACGTTTTAGACCCCGACGTCGACGTCGACGTCGTGGTCGTATAGGCGCTACGACTGAGTCGTTCGTTATCATATTTTTAGGGTTTATGTTATACAACAGGGTCTCCGGAATAATTACGAAACGGCCTGATGCCATTACCCACCAGCTTCAAGCAAATATTGCTGCTTGGTAAAAGATTTATGGGACATCCGAGAAATACTTTCTGATGATGCGAAATAATTTTACGAAAAACAAATGCGAATTAGTTAGCGGAAATGAACGAATTAAAATTCAATGTAAGTCGTAAAAACTAGATGAGTTTTTAAAAAAAGCGATTTTCTTTTTCGATTATGGGTCAATTTTCATTTTTATTATAATCCATAATATACTAGTTATCGCAGTATTTATCACTAGCGACCCGCCCCAGCTTCGCACGGGTGCAATACTAATACTAAATATACTACAGAATGTCTTTATATACAACATTCGTAGGTTTTTGTCATTATACAATACAAACCGCCCCCCGGCCGAAGCCGCCGCAACTGCTGTGTCCCTGCATTTTACATCTGTAATATCTACGAAAAAATTCATTTAAATTACATGCTGTAAAAGGCCATATTGATCTATATCAAATGCACAATGTATTTAAAAGTACTTAATTGGATAAGGATTAATGGTGTATTGCTTAAATCGCTTCGTAAATAAGCCATTATTTCTCATAAAAAGTAAAGGATAAAAAATGGTTATTATGGGTTATCCCTAAAATATAAACATACACCATCGCGGATTTTTTTGTAGACCTTTTTAAGGTGTACAGTACAATACTGTAGTACATTATTGTATTCTATCTCGTAAGGTTCGGCCAGCGTTTGCTATGTAAGCGCAAAAAAAATGTGTTTATTTACGACATCACATTAGGAACCTCTACAATTATCAGTATTTCTCTACTATATTATGCATGTATTATACATATAAACGTTCCTCTTGAATCACTCTATCCACTAAAAAAAACCGCATCAAAATCCGTTACGTAGTTTTAAAGATTTAAGCATACATAGGGACAGACAGCGGGAAGCAACTTTGTTTTATACTATGTAGTGATAATGATGGATGAAATTATTAAAGAAGGACCTCACACGAAAAAATAACAATTAGGACTTCAGATAGGATACAGAAATCTAATAATTACAGAATTTGCTTTTGCTATAATAACTTAGCAATCATTGCAAAGAACGAATGGTATAAGTAATCCAACTTAAACATCTGTAACGAAGTAATACTGTAAAAAGGATTAATAGGAAAGTAAGAGAAGACAAAAGTAAAGCACAATAACAGTAAGAATTTGCAAATTATAATAACCACTTTTACAACAGATCAGAAGGAGAAAACCAGCAGATGCAAAAGTATTCGATGTCTTAAATAAAAGCTGCATTGAGAATAGAGAAGTGTCCAAAAAACCAAGGTAAACATTTTTAAATCAGTGTAGATATACTAGCGTATGTTCATGTTCGGTCCGGAAACATGGAATCAAATGGAAATGAAATTTCTAAAAGGAAATCACAAGATTACACAGTAAGAAAAACGAAGATATCCATAAGGAATTAGGAATAAATGTACAGAATGTTATAGGACAAAACCAGCTGAGGTGGTTCGAAAATACGAGTAGAATGGATGGAGAGAGATAAGTAAGGAAAGTATGAGAAACTGGAATAATCAGAAAGAAAAAAAAGGGAATACCAAGGAATGCAAGGACAACCAAAGTCAGTAAAATATTGAAGAGAAATCACCCTTGCAGGTGGAATATTTACTTCAAATTTAAATGGAACTGCCTCTTGTTACATACACAAAGAAATACAACCGAATGTAAATCCTTTTTCTTGAATTTTAAGACATTGGTTCAACCATGTAATATAGCTACCAAAACTATTAGTAGGCATAAGTATATTCATAATTTTTCCATTTGATAAGAATACCTTCTAAAATGTGCGTATAAAAACTTCAAGTACATAAACCATAGCGATATGTAACAACAGGAACTCTTCAGTACAAAATTTACTCATACATGTTAAATAGGATCAACAAATAAAATAATTTTAACTTTTTAATGACTTACCACTTATCAGCATCTCCCTTCTTAACCAAAACTGAGCATCTGAAACAAAAGGATTTAATTAGCAGTTACTCTAAAAAGGAAATAAAAATATTGATCCCTATACTTTTATCATTAGCCTTTCAAGAGTTAAGTACCTTGTGACACTTATTTTTTTTAAGTGCAGGGTTGGGAAAAACAGTTCTTTTATTAAATTTACAAAGCAAACAATTCAAAATGGTTTTAGCATGCTTCTATATGTTATAAACATTTTTTTTACCATATATTTTTTAAAAACTGGTTTTAAACAATTTTTTTTTCGTAACATGTTGACGACATTAGTTAGATTATGTTTTAAGCAGTGTTTAATAAAACACGAATTTTAAACACCTTTTAAAAATGATGTGAGACGTTTTATTCATTTCATACCTTTAACCAATACGAAAGAATTTAAAGAATATGCATAATTTAGTGATTTTACGTTTTATTTTAATGTATGAGATTAAAAAAATAATTTTTTGAATATGTTATATCTAACGTTGTGCTTTACTTAGTATTGTCTTGTACTTGCAAAGTCATCGTTCACCTAACCTAACATAAAATAAATGAAATGGTCCTAATAAAACATGTACCTTTTACATAAATCTCTCAATATTTAATGACTGGATTGTAAAGTTATTGATAATATTCTTATTTCGAGTCCAAAAATCATTAAAAACGATTACGAAACCCGAAAAATTCACTACATCACCACTAAAACTTTTACCGAACGCGAAACGTGGACTCATAATTACTAAGTTGCTGCCGACACTCGCTTCGTGTAGTCGAGAACTTTCTCGCATTCGGCTTCGTGTATTACCTACCGCTTTGTTGTACGATGACATCATACGCACAAAAAAGCTTCAGATATCACGGCTATCTAAGAATTCTAATAATAAGGTCGTAGAGGACATCGTTGTATTGTACAGTTAAATATATAAGAAAGGAAAACAATAATTTAATTTAATATTGAGAATTTGGTACCTACGCAATATTATTAATTTGATTATGATTTAGAAATTGCTAATGAAGATTGCAGAAAAATATTGATGATTTGATACAACTACACCAGTAAATTATACAAATTACTAAATAATTAGAATCTTTTAATACGCCGTAGTAGTTGTAATCTTTTTAATCTATACAACGAAGATGCAATCAACATCATTAAAAACAGTACCGCTGTAGGGATAGATGTAAAGGGGAAAAAGATTAGTATGCTTAGATTTGCAGATAATATAGCAGTATTAGCATCTTGCAAAGAAGGGTTAGAGATACCTTTAAATAAAATGGAAGCGATACTGACAAAACAGTATTGTAAGAAAATAAATAAAAGTAAAACAAAAATTCTGGTATGCAAGAGGAGAAAAAGTAGGGAAAGAGCGAATGTAAAGAACTAGAAAAAGTGGCTGATTTTAGGTATTTAGGAAGTCAGATAAGTCAGGAAGGAAGAAGTAGTAGGAATATAAAGCAGAAGATAGCGCAGGGTCGAATCGCCTTCAATAAAAAGAAGTTACTTCTGTGCTCACGAACGATTAATTTAGAAATTCGAAAAAGATTGTTAAAGGTGTATGTTTGGAGCGCGGTGCTGTATGGGTGCGAAACATGGACGGTGGGAGCGGCGGAAAAGAAAAAGTTAGAAGCTTTCGAAATGTGATGTTACAGGCAAATAATGAGGATACCGTGGATAGAAAAGGTTAGAAATGAAGAGGTATTAGAAAGAATAGGAGAACAGAGGACTCTATGGAAGTCTAAATAGGTGAGATATGTTGGTAGGAGACCTTCTCAGGTATGAAGGTATAGTCAAAGACATATTATGAGAAGAAACAGGAGTTAAGACGAGTAGAGGTAGACCTAGATTAGATTACTGTTCGCAAGTGGTTAAGGATGTGGGTTGTTGTAGTTTTATGGAAATGCGAAGACTAGCTCAGGATAGGAAAGAGTGGAGGTGCGTGTCCAAATGGTCCTAGGATTGATGACCTTATGATGTTTATGATGGTAAGTAGTTGTATGAAAAATTGTATTTCAATGGCCAATATTTTTATAGCATTGATTTTAAAGCTAATAAGGACGTATAAGTATTCCACTATCAAAAATAATGTGTATTTATATTAGTATGATACCTTTTACTGTTCCCAAAAAAAAGATTTTTTACCGACGGATAACGAAGTACGGATCCCTAAAATTATTATGAACAATTGAAAAGTACCTTATATTAAATTTAAAGCTTTCTTATCGTCAGAACCTTAAAGACGTTCTGATAAATGTAAGAATACATTTAATTGATAAACTAGATTAAATGCTCTTAAAAAATGTGATGAAGTTCAATTTAGACCTTCCTAAACATTCAAAACTTAGATACTTTTATACGGTGTGATCCATAAGTGTTCCATTTGCTATTCTAATGTAAGAAGATCCTAAAACCGTCAAATACAAACTAATAGAACCTCCTGCTCGATTAAGACCTTATTTATAAACATTGAGAACATTGGAATATCTCTAATATAGCAGCTGGATGAGGTACTCCTACACAGGGACTCAACAAGGAAGTCAACAGTCAATTCTAGTTGATTCAGATAATAACCCAACTTGAAAATTCGGTTCAAATAGTTGAAGCTCGTAAATGAGCAGCCAAATTCGATCTTTTTAAGTATTTTAATTCAATACATTGGTGACCTTTTTCTTTTTAGTCATTTATAGTATTAGAATGGGAGCACCCAGTCAAACTGTAACGTTGTTGCGCCCCTGCTCCTACACAATAAGATAGTTAAGGGTTCCGTTTGTAATTCCAATGTATTGAACCTTAAAAACTTCAATAAAATCTTTTGTTTTATACAATGCGATCTTGATCTGCCGAATTATAAACAATCAGGTAGAGGTTTTTGCCAATTTTAGGCCCCTATCTGTTATTCTGAGGTAAGGAATCCTAAAAACATCACAAACAATCTGACAGAATCTCTTGTTAAATTTGAATCCTTCTTTCAGACCAACGGAACGTTTTTGATTCAACAACTGGATTATTAGTCCAAATAAATTATTATACATTGTTTTGTTAGTATTTAACCATTAATTATTAGGAAACATCCTCATCGTCATGTTTCATTAAATGTTTAACTTATTCACCTTTGGCGCAGGAAGGTACATACAATTCGTCTCGTGAGCAATTTTACAAAACGTGCCTCAATTCCCCGTAGACGTTTTTCGTGATAATGATGGATGAAATTATTAAAGAAGGACTTCACACGAAAAAATAACAATTAGGACTTCAGATAGGATACAGAAATCTAATAATTACAGANTTTTGTTAGTATTTAACCATTAATTATTAGAAAACTTCCTCATCGTCATGTTTCATTAAATGTTAAACTTATTCACCTATGGCGCAGGAAGGTACATATACAATTCGTCTCGTGAGCAATTTTACAAAACATGCCTCAATTCCCCGTAGACGTTTTTCCGTGGGCTTTAGCATCATGCTGTACAACGAGAATCCGCTAATCCTCTGTGACAACTCGTTCACACCCCCATGTACAAGTTTTACCTACACACTCGAAACTCATCCCCGATCGGGCGGACGGCGGGCGTCGCGGAGCGTCGTATTATTCGTGGTAGCGACCGTCGCCGTAGTAATAATCACGTAATCTCCATGTAGCAACATTAATATCTTCGTTTATTGCATCAAAGACGGGACCGAGGGCCCAAAGTAATTTACAATTCCGCGACTAATGAAACTTGACAATACTAAACTCTGCATAAGTCACTCGCAATAATTCTGTTTGTAAGATTACGTGGATCGGATGCGAGTTTCCGAGTCGGCATGCACAGAGCGACCGCAGCTGTCCGGCTTTCATCCCCGTCAAATGCGAGACCGAAAGTGTATGATGCTACACAAACAAACGAACGAACAGAAAGGGCCGCACATCAACTCACCCGATGAGCACAAAGCAACCTAAACAAAAAAAAAACTTTCGGGTGTTACATTCCCACCAGCCACTAATGCTGGTGGGCAGACAGTCCCTCCGGACCACACCGGAAGGTAAGGCGGAAGGCTCTTTCCAGCCTGCTTTCAGGAATTGTGGTTCGGTTGAGAAAGATGAGACGAACGAAATGAAAACAGAAGAGAATTGAAGACAGAAGAGAGTGAAAGATTATCTATGGAATATTACTGCCCCAACATTTGCCTAAGTGATCCAAGGAAACCACAGAAAAGCGTGGACAAAGGCAGACGGACCAGGAATCGAACCAGCGTCCTCTCGAATATAGAAAATAGTTGTTCTAGCTTAACGGAAATGCAAATATTAGCTCAGGGTATAAAAGAGTGAAGGTAATGCCTGTCTATCCAATTTTAGAATTTACATCCCTATAATAATGATGATGATGATGATGATGATGATTCTTTCTTAAGATCTTCACTATATTCATTCCGTTTAGCCCTCTTTCTTAATATTTCCTTTAATGGAGTAATACCCTTGTCTTTTGCTCCTAATATTTCTTTGTATTCACTTCCTACTTTATTTTTCACATCTTCCATCACATGACTTATTTTCTCTTCTACATATTTCACATTGTCTCTCTTTCTCTTAAACTGTATTTACCCTTATTGTCTTCGTTCCCCAATCCAAATGTTGCCATAATTGTCATGTCCTTGTTTTCTCTCCTTTATATCTCTGTCAGTCTTTCCATAGTCGCCCTTTCATCCCTTCCGCATATTTCCAACTTTGGATTCTTCTTAAGTCTTTATATTACCTATATTCATTCCCTTATTGTTTTATTCCACCAATTCCATCTCTTTATTTATCATAATATCTTCCAATATACCTATTGCAAATATAGTAAAGTACAGGAAGATAGGTGTGTGTTCTATCGGGACACCACGGAGTGCTGATGAGATCGAATCGAGTTGACAATTTTGACAGAATACTAATCACCAAAAATTTTACGTTTTGCTTGGTTATTCACTCATCGTATACTATTAGGTACGCCGTGGATTCAGTTCGATAAGTCGATGTCCTTTCTAGAAAAGGATTTTTCCAGTGAACTTCCTTGATCCCGGGCTCGACGTTTATTGTTTCTACGTATCTAACGGGCACATATTTACATATGTCTCTTTGTAATATAATGAAAGTTGCTGAAAGATTTGTTAGATAATGTAATTTGTACCTAATGAACAGGACTAATCCAGTAATTTTCTGGCAATGGAATAATAGAGAAAGCCGACGTAAATTTCATAATGTTATTCACATTGGTACACGCATACATTTGCGAATCACGTAGAAATATCTGCATGTTCGCCATTAGGTACGAGTAGAGAAACACACACAAACACACACATACACATATATAAATATGCGGGCACTGATAACAAAGCACGGGCTTTAAGCACTTTATTGATGATAATTCGATAATTATATGATACTTTAGTGTTTTAGATATGAAATAATTGCGCTACTGGTTAATCGGCTGATCAATTTATTTTATGCGATAATTACAATATGGGCTTTAAGCCCCCCCCCACCCACTGCACCCCTCCTTGTTCCCGACGATACCAATACGTACGAGCGCGTATGTATATATGTATGCAAACGCAGTTTTCGTTACCAGTTTTGTACGCTTATTGAATAAATCTGAGTGTAAATAATGATGCTCACTTGCCAAATGTATTTATCTGCCTTTATTTGTTATTATACTGCCCGTGCATGTAACTATTATGTAGGTATAGACACATC